ATGTCTTGGAGCGCAAGACTTGGATGTCCGTAGGGCCCTCAAAATTTACATTTCTCAAACCGTGCCCACCAGGAAATCTGAGGCTCTCTTTGTGTCCTTCCAACCAACCTCGTTAGGTTCCAAGGTCTCTTCTGTTATTATCTGCCGTTGGATCCGGGTGTGCATTGCCCGGGCATATGATACACACGCATTACCAGTACCGGGGCGCATTACGGCACACTTGACGTGTAGTGCAGCTACCACCACTGCTTGGGCCACACAAGCCTCCCTCAAGGAAATTTGCAGGACAGCTACTTGGACTACTCCTTCGCCTTTCAATAAGTATCATCATCTGGATGCCTTCGCTTCGGCGGAGGCATCCTTCGGTAGGAGAGTTTTACAGCAGGTACACCTGGCCTCGAGGTGTCCAGACTCACGGGCTTCCCACCCTTAGGACTGCCAAGCTTTGGTATGTCCCATTCCTGACCCATTCCACAGCCTTTTGGGAGAAGGGGCGTTGGTCCTACTGTCAACGCCGTTTCTCCAATGCTGCGGAGTGGGTCAGCCCCACCCGCCTAGTGGTCTGGACCTGGCTCCTTACTAATGTTATGGCAGAGTTTCTCTTTCAGGCCTATCTTCGTCAAACAAACTGGAGTCAATGGAGGCATGTGGAGGCATGGCTATAAAAATTATGACTCAATCTCAGGCAAATGAACTGTATCAACCCATTCCTGACCCACTCCATAGCATTGGAGAAACGGCGTTCACGGTAGGACCAATGCCCCTTTTTGGATATCAGATGAATGTTTCAATTCAAATACTTTGGAAAGCCCACATTGTGGCCATTTATAATTATGCTTAATTGTTAAAATTGAAAAAAATGCCTTATACATCTTAGGAAAGTTACTTCTTAGCAAGAAAATAAAGGTTAATCACAGGTTAGTTACAGAAATCTAATTTAATTACGATGAATACAGATGAATGTCAAGAGATACTTCTGCAGTACAAATTAAATCTATAGTATTCTCAAAAATGTAATTTTTCCCCCAGACCTTAGGCAATTGTATTTCTTTTTTCTCTCCCCTATTACAAAGATTTAGAAAGATTTAGAAAGATAAAGACATTTTGAATTCAAATTTGGAAAAATGACATAATGCTAGTTAACAAAGCAAGAAAAAAAAATCAGTATCTCTGGCTTTGAAACTGTGCTTGTTCTCAGTATCCTAGTATCCACCAACTCCCAAGTCACTGAGCACACTACTGGTTACTCAAATTTCATTTTGGCCTATATAACCATCCAGAGTTTTATGGAGTAGGTAACCATAATAAATAAATAAAATTATGCTTCTGTTAAAATCTTATCCACGTATAGTATTTTGGAGTGGGTTTAATAAATAAAGGCTTAAGTAAATAAATAAATCCTGTTTCTGTTAAAATCTCATACTCCATTTAAATCTAATCTACCATGATCTATGGAATACAATGCTGTGGCAATATATACTGGCCTGTTGTCTGGTTAATACCTGCATAGAGGTCTACCAGTAATACCAGGATGAGTGACAAGTTGAAGAAAAATATTCTTGAAGAAGACAATTTAAAATGACTTTTGTATTGTTGCAGAAGAAATTATATGTCTCTGTCTTTGAACTCTCTAGGGATAAAGTTGAACTTGAAGATTTTATGACTTATATTTTATCTTAAAGGAAAATTGAATAAGAAAATAATAAAAAACAAACAAGTAGAGACACGAGATAAAAAAGAAATATAACTATATCTTGTTAATATCAAAACCTCTCCTCCTCCATTTCATTTGTAAAAAAAATCCTTGTCTATAACATGTCTTTACACAGCTTCATGCTGTCTTTGATTTTTTAAATTTGTTATGTATTTCTTTTTGAAGATGTAATGATCTCTAGCTAACTGGTGTTCTGGTGTTTTCCTTCCTCTCAACTCAATCACTCTTGGTTCATACATTTGTTTTGTAATTTAATCCAGAAGCAACGTGGAGCCTTTCACAGTAACAAGAATTGCCTGCAATTCTCCTTACTGTGAGAGGCTGCATGTTGCAAAGACGAACAGAGCAAGGCGGAGGACAAAGCAAGGCAGGGGCTACCGAGCTGCCCCAAGGCTCTGCATCAGCTTACCTGAAGGCCCTTCAGCCAGGCTACCCATGCCAAACCCTCCCCCTCCCTTCCCCCCCCCCCAGGGCAGCCACATCCCTTCACTAACCTGTTTTCCAGCTCCATTCTTTGCTGCGCATTCAGGACAAGAAAAGTAGTCTGTTGGTAAAAAAAATAAAAATACTGGTAGTTCAGACCTTCCAACTTCTCATGAAGAAAAAAAAATCTCGCAAAGTTGGAAGGTGTTTTTACCGTAGTCCCACAGGGGCATCTGTGCTGCGATCCCAAAGAAAGGATAGGCTGCAGGAAAATCCCTCCCCCCTTTTTTTCCTGCCAATCGTTCTTTATTTGGGATTGCAGCAGGATTGCAAGGCTGAAGGCTTCAGATGGAGCATTTTGGGGATATGTGTCTATGCTGCGATCCCAAAGATAGGACAGGCTGCAGGAAAATCCCCCCAGCTTTTTCATGCCAATTGTTCTTTACTTGTGCTGGCCACGCCCACCCCTTCACTAGGGCTTATTTTTGGGGGAGGGCGTATTTTCAGGGAAACACGGTATTCTTCCATATCCAATTCACATTTCCAAAAACAAAGTGGGCAAAAGCATAGACATCTTCTTTTGACAAACATTCTTTGCATAAGGCTCAGTATCTTTTTACTAGCATTTAAGTTCATTCTTATCATTTCATTTGTTTTCTTATTTTTAATAAGACAGAGATATTCATCTTCCTGCTCTATTTTTTCTATTTATTTATAATCAGTTATTCACTCCATTTTTTTCTGTCAGTTGCAATTTTGATCTTTTTTTAAATGTATTTAGCCACAAATACATTAAACAACCAAGTGTTGTCTGTCTTCGTTTAAACATTTTCACACATGCTTACTTCTATCATATACTATTCTTTTTGTTTTTTTTTAAATAAAACAAAAACATTGATACAGAGATAATATTAGTAAGTGGACAGAGAAGTACAAAAGTTATACAATTAATGCTCGGTATATTACCAATGAAGAATTTGTAATAAAGAATAAAATACATTATTTTTAATGAAAAAGAAAGGCATTTTTAATCTCACAGCCAAATGTTATTATGTAAAGATAAATTATCTACCAAAGAGAAAAGAAAACGACTAAGAACATTGTGCCTGAATATTTTGTTTCTAACTCTCTCGTTGTATCCTTGTTGTTGTATATATTATAAATATATGCTGTAATTTTTTTGCCATATATCATTCTCATCACATTCAGCAACTGATCCTTGCAAAATATTTTATAATTCCAAAAACCATACCATTATGCTGAGATCATATTGTCCTTCTCTCTATTTTCATTTCAGAGGACTTAAAACAGTGATCTTGCACAGGGCCTGTCTGAAAGCAGCTGCTGAGAAGGCAGTTAGGTCTTTGGGCTGAGAGGATGTTAGATTACTATGAGTGTTTTTATGAGCATGTATGAGTTTTTATGAGTATGTAACATGTGTTTTGTGACATCACAATCCATACTCCCCCCCTTATAAATTTACATGTTACATTCTGAATGAACCTGAAAAGGTGAGGCCTGTATCCTAATAACATGATACAGATTCTGTGATTTTTAGAATCATTTGTAGTTTGGAATAATTGCCATGTTCAAAACTTCTTTTCACTATGCATCTAAGCACTGTGCAAAATTCTCTCTGTCTTTCATCTTAAATAATCACATCAATCGTGGTTTTAAAATGTACATTTATTGTTTGCCAGGTGTACTTATAAGTAGACTTATGCTTGAAATATTTATTTGAAACCAGTTTTTCTGCTCACCAAATGGCTCACAATTCTCATTAATTTTTGAGTCCTTGAATGGCTCAACTACTTTTCTATACTTATTTAATTTCCATCCATCCATCCATCTCACCTGAAGAGTATTTTCCTCCTGGATCATATTCAACAAGCTGTATAATTTTCTAAAAAAAACCTTTTTGTTTTTGGTTCTTCCATCACCATTCACTAGAGTATAATATTCAATTGTCACCAAGCAATTGATTCCTGCTCTCATAAATACATTACCTACAAAAGTTTAGTTGACATCAATATGTCAGATCTTATAATACTCTGTTTCCTCTCTGACTTTTAACACCATGGTTAATTTATCCATTTCAGCGCAATCGAGCACCTTTTTTATTATCATTGTGTTAGATGGTACGTCTTTCTGTTTCCAGTTCTGGGCAAATGTAATTCTGGCTGCTGTTATGATGTGAAGTATGATGTATTGGTTCTTTTTACTTATATTTCCTTTTATGATACCCAATAAGAACAGTTCTGGTTTCATCTCAATTTTTTGTTCTGTAATTTCTTCTAACCATTTTTTGATTTCCATCCAATACCTCTTACCTTTCGGGCACATCTACCACATGTGATAAAAAGTCCCTTATTCGTAATTACACCTCCAATCGTTTGCCGGTCTTTTGGGGAGCCTTGCCAGGGGTAGATGCCAACGATAAAACATTTGGTATATGTTTTCCTTATAAGCTGCCGACATCGTTAATTTATAGTTTTTTTCCCATAATTTTTCCCAATGTTCCAATTCAATGTTGTATCCGAAATTTTTGGCCCAAATTATCGTCTCTTTCACTGTTTCCTCCTCCATTTTAAATTTTAACAGACAATTGTAGGTTTTGGTTATCATTTTTTCCTCTGTCCCTAATAATATTTTATCCATTTCTTCTTGTTCTCTTTGGAAGCCATAATTTTCTAAATCTTTTTTATACCTTGTCTGAATTTGTAAGTATGGCCACGAATCTATTTCTATTCCTTGAGATTTTAGGTCTTGGTTAGATTTAAGTTTTCCTTGCCCATCCAATAGCTCTTTGTATTTTGCACTCACTACACTTTAACCTGCACCTTTTTTTATTATTTATTTATAGACTGGCCTTATTGTTGCCTGTTACCAAGGATACGTGGATATTGTAATAGCCTTAGCACAGTGTCCTCATATTGATGTAAACTGGCAGGACAACGAAGGGAATACAGCTCTAATTACAGCTGCTCAGGCAGGTAAGAATATTTGCTACTCATTTAATTTTTATGTTCAGTAGTGCGCTTTGTAATTGTGGTCCTTGTGATGAACCAATGAATATCAGGCTTTGTCATTTTTAAAGGGAGAGACAGTGTAAACCAGGCAGTTATCACCCACTTAGATTGCTCAGCACAACAAGTAAAATACATGCTAGGCATTAATACACAAAACTGATGGGTTGCCAGATCCAAGGAAAGATTTTAGCTGTAGAACAACCCAGCTTTTCAATATTTAATCAAGGCATCACTCTGTGACACTTTGCCAAAAAAATAGCCTCTCCCCAGAGAGAACTTCTAGGCTGCCTTTATTGATATGAAGGCAGTTTTTGATTTGACACCAACCCTCCGGCCCCCCAGCAGTGATGGCAAAAACTCTTTATTGATTGCTGGCTTCTGCAGCTAATTACAGTGTTACCCAAGGCCACTCTGTGCAGATTAAATGTGATGTAAATTACCTTCAACAGCACCACTCCCCAGGTAATAGTTCCATTAAAGTGTTAAGGGAACCAATCAGTGCCTTTCTAAATTTGGATCTCACCCCACACCCTCAAAAATCAGGGATTAATTTCCATGCTCACTTATACTGATGATATAGATATTGTTTCCCACACTTAAATTGTAATCTTCGGGCTTTTGCTGACCATTGCCTAATTATAGGATTGAAAATAACCTATGGAAAAATAAAGGTGCTGCTTTTCACGAAGTATGGGAAATTAAGGGGGTGTGATGGCTCAATGATTAAAGACCTTGAGCTTGTCAGCTGGAAAGCTGACAGTCTGGGTTCAAGACCCAAGCACTGTGGGACAGGATGAACTCCCTTTACTTGCCCCAGCTGCTGCCCACCTAGCAGTAGATGCAAGTAGATAAATAGGTAGCACTTCGGTGGGAAGCTAACAGCGTTCTGTGTGCATTGGTGTATAGTCATGCTGGCCACATGACCACAAAAGTGTCCTCGGACAACAGTAACTCCCTTGACCAAGAAACAGAGATGAGCATCACCCCCTAGAATCGGACAAAACTGGACAGGGAAAACCTTTACCTTTATATGGAAAATTAATAACCACTCCTAGCAAACAAAGGCATTTAAATATCTAGTCTTCAATTTTCAAATATCCACTTGGTGGGTCAGGTCACAATCAAACAAAACCAGCTGCAAAGGGGATCATTTGCTCCCAGTAGCATCAAAGTTTTCAAAATGAGCTGTTGAGCCTACTGTGGTTTGGTGCCAGGTTTTGTGCATATTCTGGTGATTCCCAGTTTAAAACCTCCAATCTTAATTCCCCAGAACTTTTATCATGGATTGCCCACTCTACTTTAAAGGCATTTTTCCAGTTAGATCTTGAATGCCCCTTTACAGCTGCTTACATGAAAATCTGTCACCTGAATATAGCATAATGGCTGCTAATAAAAGTGGAGTTAAAGAAATACCTTAATATGATACAGGATAACTATCATTTAACGCAAGGCTCGTCTTTTGCAAAAGTGGGCACAGGTTATGTTGTCATTATTAGTATTAATTCCTTTGTGACTCCACCTATGCCTGGGCTAATCAAATGAGAATTTAAATAAGTAGCATTTAGATAATTCTCTCTCATAAGTTTAAAAAAATAGAAGTAACTATATTATACCCCATTTGTTCTGTAGTAAGCTATCAGTAAGAATGGTACCTCCCTATAGCTCCACAGAAATAATCCAAAGTAATGTAAGATTTAATTTATGCATAGACTTTTCTCTCATTCTAAATCTCTAGTAACCTATATAAAATAATCCTCTGAAAAGCAACTTACTGTTAACACAAAGATTTGTTGTGCCCTAGAGGCAACACCACTACAGGTAGTCCTCAACATACGACCACAATTGAGCCCAAAATCTCTGTTGCAAAGTAAGTGAATTTTGCCCCATTTTATGACCTTTCTTGCCACAGTTGTTAAATGAATCACTGCAGTTGTTAAACTAGTAACATGGCTATTAAGTGAATCTTGCTTCCCCATTGACTTTGTCAGAATTTTGTAAAAGTTAATCACATGACCCTGGGATATTGCAACTGTCATAAATATGAGTCAGTTGCCAAGTATCTAAATTTTGATCACATGACCGAGGGGATGTTGCAATGGTTGTAAGTGTGAAAAATGGTCATGTCACTTTTTTCAGTGCCATTGTAACTTTGAACAATCACTAAATTAACTGTTGTACATTGAGGACTACCTATATTTGCCTTGATAAAGTGTTTTGCACTGCCAAAAAGTTCCTTGTCTCCCACTTGACACTTCTAAAAAATAGAAAAGGGACAGGAAGAACACCTGCACTGAATCATCTTCCAGTGTTGGCAAGTCTTACTGGAGAAGGCACCTCTCAACTGAGGAGCAGCTTCTCCAGCGGCTCTCCTCAAAACCAGACGAAGCTTCTGTGGATGCTGCTCATGTGAAGAAGCCTCTTCCAGCTTTTGCAGGTGCCTGAGGATGTTGAGGAAGGGCTTAGGATGTCCTGTTTTTGGAGCATAATTGATAAAATTATCCTTCAGTTTTTTCCTGAAAGAAAACTTGAGAAACTTATTCCTTATGTGCTAAGTGTGTTTCAGCTCGATTTTGGGGGGATTAAATATAATGCCCAGGTTTGCAGAGATGCTACTTATTTGCTCAGTTCAGCTGACCTCCTGAAACTTGTCAGTTATTGCTCCAGGTTGAATAAAAGCTCAATTATGGGTCTATATAATAAATTCATGGAGAATACAGAAGTGCCAGACTAGCTCCAGCATAGATTTAATTCTAAAACCTGGTGTGACTGACTAAAATTCTGTGAAGAGAGGGGAAGAGTGAGAGAAAGCCTTCTTGTTGCATCTTAAAGATCCTTCATGGTCAGTCTATAGCCATGTCTGTGCCAAGATCTACCGAGAATTTAAAAAAATAATAAATACATTTTCCTTCTATTGCTTTCTGAGCAAGATTACCAGTTTCATGCAAAGGTATACTGATTGCCAAACCAGGCAACGGTTCTAGAACCCTGCGTGAAGCCTGAATGTTCTTGGTCTTTTTTTAACACTAACATAGAAACATAGACCTAGTGGTCCAGAAAATCTTCCCACTGAACGGGTTTGTTTGTTTGTTTTCGTTTTAATTTCTTTGTGTTTACTTTTCAAAGTGATCCTTCCTGAAGAGCATATGCAAAATATTGATCGTCTGACCTGACACTGACTCTATAAAAGGAATTAGCTACTTCCCACTCAAAATACAATATTTTATATTGTTAAATATAATAATAGAATATTTAAAAATATGAAATCATCAGTTTTACTAACTGGGTGCAGGTAGTATTGCGCAAATCCATTTTATCATTTTAAGGAATCACTGTATCATTGGTTGGGGATTTTAGCATTAGAACAAGGATTCAAGCCTATTCTGGCATATTGTCATTGGATACAGGTTTGCCAGATTCTAACCACTTTACGTGATTTCAGAGTCCATCTGGACTCTGACGGGGTAGATTCAGGGGGGAGGATGGAGGCAGGTCTTGAGAATATTATCTGGGAAGAGTTTGATGCTGTGACTCCCGAAGACGACAGGATACTGAGTAGACTGAATGCTGCCACATGTTTATTGGACCCGTGTCCCTCCTGGTTGGTGCTGGCCTCTCGGGAGGTTACACGAGGCTGGCTCCAGGGGATTATAAATGCTTCTCTAACAAATGCTTCGCTTTGTTGCGAAGGTTGTTGAGAGTGTGGTAGCACGATAGCTCCCTCAGTATCTGGATGAATCGTCTTATCTGGATCCGTTCCAGTCGGGCTTCAGGCCTGGGTACAGCACGGAAACGGCATTGGTCGCATTGGTTGATGATCTCTGGAGGGCTCGGGACAGGGGTTGCTCCTCTGTCTTGGTCCTATTAGACCTCTCAACGGCTTTTGATACCTTCGACCATAGTATCATTCTGCACCGGCTGGAAGAGCTAGGGGTGGGAGGCACCGTGTTGCGGTGGTTCTCCTCCTTCCTCTCTGACCGGTCACAGTCAGTGTTGGCAGGGGGGCAGAGGTCGACCCCGAGGCCCCTTGTATGTGGGGTGCCACAAGGGTCGGTCCTCTCGCCCCTTCTGTTCAACATTCATGTGAAGCCGCTGGGTGAGATCATCTGTGGTTTCGGGGTGAAGTACCACCAGTACGCTGATGACACCCAGCTGTACATCTCCACCCCGGACCACCCCAATGATGCCCTTGAAGTGATGTCCCAGTGCCTGGAGGCTGTAAGGATCTGGATGGGGAGGAACAGACTCAGGCTCAACCCATCCAAGACTGAGTGGCTGTGGTTTCCGACATCCCGATATAGTCAGTTGGTGCCATCACTGACTATTGGGGGCGAGTCATTGGCCCCCACGGAGAGGGCTTGCAACTTGGGGGTCCTCCTGGACTCACAGCTGTCTTTAGAAGAACACTTGACGGCTGTGGCCGGGAGGGCGTTTTATCAGGTTGGCCTGATTCGCCAGTTGCGTCCCTTTCTGGATCGGGACTCATTAAATACAGTCACTCATGCCCTCGTCACTTCCCGCCTAGATTACTGCAATGCTCTCTACATGGGGCTCCCCTTGAGGAGCACCCGGAGGCTCCATCTGGTCCAGAATGCGGCCGCGCGGGTGGTTATGGGAGCGACGGGGCGCTCCCATGTGACCCCCCCTCCTGCGCGGGCTGCACTGGTTCCCGGTGGTCTTCCAGGTGCGCTTCAAGGTTTTGGTTACCACCTTTAGAGTGCTCCATGGCTTAGGACTGGGGTATCTACAAGACCGCCTTCTGCCACCAGTAGCCTTTCACCGACCAGTACCCTTCCATAGAGAGGGGCTCCTCAGGGTGCCGTCGGCCAAACAGTGTCGATTGGCGGCCCCCAGGGGGAGAGCCTTCTCTGTGGGGGCACCTGCCATCTGGAACGAGCTCCCCCCGGAGATACGGAGGATCCCGGACCTGCGTGCTTTCCGCCGTGCCATTAAAACATTTCTTTTTC